TGTCAAAGGCAGGAAGAAGCAGAGAGGTGCTGGTGCAGCACAGGCTTGCCGAAGGGGCTGGGAGGGTGGCATGCAGGTTGGCACCTCCAGCTGCCTGGTGGGCTGTCCCACGGGGCCACTGGGATTGAGGCTGAGCCCAGGAGGGAAGAGTGGAACCATGAGTGTGAGTGCCGCCTGCTACAGAGACCAGGTAAGGAAACGAAGTCTGCAGATTGTCTACCGGCCTGTGATTCTGCCTAAAAGTAAAAACATTGGTGTCCAGTCTTGGGCCACCGTTGGCTCTTTTATTCCTTAGATATTCGCTATCCTTATAATTTAACTTCCAACATGATAATGGATGATTTTTTTAAAAAAACTGTTGGGTCTTCCTGACTTATACACCATGGGTTTTTCTTTCTGTGGGTTCTGGGGGAAGGATGAGCTATGATGTGAATCCAGAAAGGGCTGTTCTGAAGCTGATGAGCTGAAAGTGACAGCTGTCAGAGAGGAAACTGCAGAATAAGCAACAACTAGTCGGAGGCTACTTCCTGCCAGGATGAAACGCATGGCCGGCACCTGCCCCCTCAGCCTACTCAGTGCAACCTCAATCACAGAGATTCGTTGGCTGAGTTGAGCATACTTTGGTCACGAAAGGGAGCAACATGGACTCGAGCAAGACTTCCAGCCACGCTGGTCAGAACATATATTTTAATAGCCTCGCATTTAAAAAGGTGAGTTTCCCTGATCTGGAAAATTCCCTTGGGTGGAACAAGGCACTCTTGCTGGTGAAGCATCACTCTGAGATACACGTAAATACAAAGCTTAGGGACAGCTGCAAGCTTTGGAATAACCCACTGCAAGGAAACATCCAACACTGTCTGCCGGGCTGTCAGGGACCACAGGGGGTGTCCTTAGTTTTTGTTGCTCCAAAAGACAGGACTCAGATGAATGGATTCCTTACGGAAGAGAAGATTTCAGCTCACCACGAAGAAGGTGGGGTTAGCATCTGGAGCTTTCCAACAGGGGAGCAAGCTGTTGGAGGAGGTGAGCTCCCTGTCTTTGGGAGGATTCCAGCAGAGGCCAGATGCAAGCCTGTGAGGATGCTGTAGAGGATTTTTGCATGGATTAGGGGGTGGAGGATATTTGTGATTATCCAACTGTGTTTTGTGGAGTCCCAGGGTTTCTTGGATGTGCTTGAGAGGTTGGGCTGCTGAGGAAAAGGGAAAGAAATGCTAATGTATAGAATTCTAGCCTCCGTCCTGACTCCAATCAAATAATGGTACCTCATGCCTACTGAATGCTTATGGCATTACAAAAATTAACTTATTGGTTCCAGAGAGAGATGCCCAGATGGACCAGAGGACAGCAGTGCCTGCGTGCCATCAGCTACTGTTGTCCCACACCGCTGTGCGAGCCTGCTCTCTGGAACCAAAACATATTATCCCAAAATAAAAGCCCCAAATAGAGACTCTAAACCGGGGTCTTCTGCTCACCAAAGAGATGACTCCCCTGACTTCCTGTGCTTATTTATTTATTCCTTTTGGGAGCAAGGCCAGCCAAACAGCCTCTGCTTCCTACCTGCAGTCTCCTAATTGGTGGGAAACCTTCCTGGGACTGCTTGATCCTGAGCAAATGTGACAGCCCCACACATGCCTCACAGACGGGTTTCTAGGCTGCTCTGCAGCTTCCTCTCTCTGCCAGGGCTTTCTGGAAGAAATCTGAAAAACCCAAAACCCATTTCTAGAGCAACTCATTATGATCAGGTGGGTAAGGCACTATGGTTTGTGAACAAACTCATGACACTAAGCACCGTGCCTGGTTCTGAGACCTAGTTTTGGTGACATCACAAACTGCCCATGACACCCTATGACAAAGCCTCACTGTCCCCCACTTAGTAGATGGCAAACCAGAAGCTCAGAGCATTCATGTGCTTCTCTGAGTTTATTAAATAAGTGCTCTGCGATTACTAGATGCTCATACCTTATTGTCACGAAGAAGTAACACAAATGCAAAAATGAACACAAGTCCTTTAGAGTTCTCAGTGTCTTCCTTGGAATCTGCCTGTGTCAGTCCTCTGGCCTCTGCAGCTCTGCTGCTCCCTTCCTCCCACTAAATCCACTCTCCATACCCACTCATTGCTCCCTATTTGTCTCTCAAATCTCACCTCCTCCAGGAAGTCCTCCTGGCTGCACCTTCTCCCCTAGTCGTGTGAAGTGCCATTCTTGGTGTCCTCAAAGCACCACTGCTACCCCGGCATGTGTCACACTGGATAACAAGGCCCTGCTTAACTACATCCCTCCCTAGACAAATGCCTTGAGAACCAGGCTTCCAAGTGCACTGCTCCCCAGGGTCAGCAGCCCTATGTCTGGAGACTATTTGGACCAGTCTTGACTTAGTCACTGCCATGGTGGCAAGCGCCCTCTCCCAGCTTGGACTGGCCGTACAATGAAGACTTCATTCTTTGGGACCATCACCATCGGCACTGTCACAGCTTTGCTGACTTCCTCCCACAAAGCTGGGAGCAAGGGGTTTGGGCCAGGTGCCAGAGCTTCCCCTTTCCTTTCGCTAGTGTTTGCAGGTGACACTTGACATGCTGCAAAGGACCAGGGGATGGAACCCAAAGATGCCTTCCAGGGGTGCGAAGTTACAGACTCTCCTTACCCGAGTCCTGCCCCAGCAGGCCGGCTCAGCCTGGTGGAACCTGGCGGAAGGAGGGCCCGGGGGCCCACTCTCTTGATTTATGAGAGCCAGCTGCTCCTACGCCCTGTTCTTAGCACCCACAAAATTCATGTGTTCTCCCCACCCCACTACTGCCACCTAAGGTCAGAGTCCCCTTTTCGCCTGGGATGTGGCAATATCTCTAATGCTCTCCCTGCCGCCGGGCTTGTCGCCACAGAGTTGACTGCTCTTTCTGGAATGTAAATCTGACCATGATGAAACCCTTTGGTGGCGATGGGGTTCAGGCTTGCTCTAAGCAGGTCTCATTCTCTGACCCTCCCGAGACACCTTATTATCTGCTTTAGCACACAAGCTACCAGCAAGGTCTCTTCCCCTCTCAACTCTGTCTGTTCTTCCTTCCCTGGTAACTTCATTCTGCTCGCTTGCTTTTCAGTTCATTCACTAATGAAGTGCCTGTTTCTAAGTTAGGGGGAGGGGACTTCAGAGGGGACAGTCCAAAGTCTCTGAGTCAGTTCTCTTACATTCTGACCTTATATTTGGGGAAAAAATTAGGACTAGTTGTTGAATAGTGACCAGGGCTGCGATGGAATGAAAACAGGGGATGTTACGATGGCAGATGGCAGATGGCAGAGCCGAGGCTCGGGCAGGAGTGTTAGGGATGGCAGTGGCCGTGGAAGTGCTGGGGGGGGAGGCTGCATCTTGTTCATGGACTCCCCAGATCCAGACAGACAACCCCCCTGATATCTCTAACAGCTGTGACGTGGCAAGCTGGTTGCAGGCTGGGGCGGGGCATCCCCAGCTCTGACCCCAGTGCCCTGCACTCTGGCACTCGCAGATTCTGAGAAGGGTGCTTGGGGACTTCTGCACCCAGATGACCCGCCAGGGGAAGGCAGGGCTGGCTTGTCATTTATAAAAGGGGTCCCACTTCACAAGACATTGCGCAGAGCCCACGGGAACGCACTGACATGGATGATTGACTGAGGACTTCATCCTGCAAGGCTTTTTTATCTGAGCGTCTTCTACAGAGGGGAAATAACAGCGGCAAGAGAACAGTTCTCCTTCAGTGTTTGCAGAAAAGTGCCGAATGGCACTTCGATATTGATGATGACAACCAAGACGGATCTGAGTAAAGAGAACCGAAGGAAAACCAAAGAATGGTGTTTGTCAAAATCTCTAAGTGCTTCCCAGAATCTGTGACGGAGTTCAAGTGCTTATTGGTCCTCTTTGCTTTAAAAAAGGGCAGAAACTGAGAACAGCAGAGACAGTGATGGGGAGAAGAGCTGGAGCTGGAGGGTGATACCAGGCAGCAGGGGTGGCCTCGAGCCCCATGCTCCAGCAGAGCCAGGTGAGCACCTGCCTGCAGACCTTCCACTGACACCTGCATGTCACTGGGCCCCCCAAAGATTCACATGACACCCAGAGTAATAACATAAGCCGTAACAGTAATAAAACCCTGACACTCTAACTCAGCACACAACCTCCTTCCCATCTGACTCCTGCCTACGTGCTGCTCAGCCACTCCTGGTCTCTTCCTACCTATTTGTCCCTTCCCCACATCAAGACCCATCCTGCCCCAGGGCCTTTGCACCAGCTTCTTCCTCTACTTGGAGTGAGAATGGGTAGCTTGCCTGAGATGGTAAGAGGAAGGGATTACAGCCGAACCCAGGTGCCGTGCCCTGCTACATTCTGCTGCCTTCCCACATCCTGGTCCTCAGAACTTAGTCATGTCAGCTTTGCTCCTTGATGCTGTGTGACTCTAGGCAAACTCTTAACCTCCCTGTGCCTCAATTTTTTCAGTTCTAATGGGGGGTGAGCAGAAGGGAGAGGACTTGTATGAGCAGCAACTGAGATACAACATATGAAAAAAATATCAACAGTGAAGATATGGGAAAACAGAGCAGATGATGTCAGCTAAGCCTGTGACTGATGGCTCACCTGGCACCATCTTCACCCATGCTCATCCGTGAAGGCCCAGGTTATTTGTGAAACTCTTTTGTTTCACCTCTAGCACTGATCATCCTGGATCCAGGGTTTCCTGTGTGGGCTCTATGTCCACAAAGACCCAGAATGTCTTGGCTGTGGAGAGACACTTTTTACCTGTTGTTTCCCTGGTGCTTTTGCTCATTCTGATTCCCCTGCTTGGAAACTCACTTCTGACTCACCTGGTCCAAGCCCCTCTGCCCGCTCCGTGATGATCATGGAAGTACCTGCCGACCTGCGCACCAGGTAGCAAACCCCCAGGCAGGGATGTCTCTTGTGCTTCTCGGTCAGCCCTGCACGTGGCCCGGCGTCCAGCACGCTCAGGTCCTTGGCAGAGCTGCCGCCCCCCGCGAGCCACTTACATTTTCACTGTTGACATCAGCTTCACTGGGGCAGCCGAACAGTTCCCGCCTCAGGAGGTTGCCATCATACTCCAGGAAGGTCAGGTAGAGGTTGCGGAAAAACTCCACATGCTTGTTCTTCACCCGAAGTTTTTTGGGGGAGTTCCAGTGAATGACCTGTTGGGTGAGAGAGAGGCAGTCAGGCAGGGGGACCTCATGTTTACCACAAGCCGGGTTTGGTACTGGCTTGGGGGCTCATTCATTGATTCAGCATGAGGGGCTGTTAATGGAGCCGTTAGGAGGAAATTGGGAGTCTGTGAGTGATGTCCTGAACAGACTCCACCCCCATCTCCAAGCCAGCAAGAGCTCAGGCATGGAGGACTACAAGTCCCAGCATGCCTCAACTCAACTTCCTGCATGGAGGACTGCTAGGAATTAGGGGTGCAGCAGAGTGGCCAGGTGGACCTGTGAGACACTGAGGCAGGAAGACCCCATTTTTGCTTTTTCAGGTTTATCCTGCACCCTGCACTGCCAGTGGGACAGATGGCATCTAGCCACACGCTGGCCACCAGCAACAACTAAATTCATTTTGTGGCTTTTCCGACACTCAGAAGCAATGTCGATGTCCTCCTGGCCAGGGTCTGCTCACCCTGGAGTTACCTACTGACCCCACCCCAGGTCTGAGTTCCTGCCCCACCCACATGGGATAATTCCCAGCTATTCCTGCTGCTCCTTCAGCTCTCAGGGTGGTAACTGTTTCCCTCAACTTTCTATTTTTGCTTTTTTAGTTACCAAGTAAATACTTGATGTCTAGTTACCATTTTTAAAGGTTAAATTCTCTTCTGGAATCATGCACAGGGTTCTGCCAGAGCTTATGGATCCACTGCCTCTTAGAGATGCGGTGAGAAACCCACCAGTTACAGCCCCCTCCACCACGTTGTGGGCACAGACGTCAGCCATATGGAGACATGACAACAGAGTGAGTCACACAAGTGTACTGACTCCCAGTGCATGTAAGTTTACACACCACTGTCATCTCTTAAATAAGCGACAGCATTGTATCTAAAAAAAAATGTACAAACTTAATTAAATAATACTTTTATTGTTAAAAATGCTGGCCATCATCTGATGCTGATACAAAAAAGATGGCGCGAACAGACCTGCTGCCATTAACCTTCAATTTGTAAAAAATGCAGTAGCTGCAAAGCACACTAAAGCCAAGTGCAGCACAGCAGGGCATGTAGGTACAAGTAGAGCAGGTGAGCAGTACCTGGCCCAGGATGAACGTCCATAAATGCTGGGGGTGGAGGGATGTGTCCGTAAATAGTAATTAGGGTGAAACAATGGAGGGAGGATGAAGAAGAAACACTCAGAGAAGCATCACAGGAGGCCCTGTGCAGGGACTTGAAGATGGACAGGAGATCCCTGGGGAGACAGGGCATGGTGCAGAGGGGACAGGGGCACACATGGAGCCTGGGTGGGGTGGGCAGGAGATGTGGCTGCAGAGGACAGCTGGGGGTCTGCTGTCCTGGGGGGACGGGACCACCTGCGGAACTCAGATGACCTCACTGGAGGTTTTTAAGGAGGGGTATGGCTGACTCTGGGCTTAAGGAAGATGACTCTGGTTACAGAGACGCTGATGGAAAAGATGTGGGGTGGCACCAGGGACACCAGAGGCAAGTCCACTGTCCTCTCCAGCAGCGCTGCTCACGCCCTTGGCTGGAAGCTCGGCTAAGGAAGACACTTCACCATCGGTTTTACACGCTGCCTTCCTGAATCTTCACCACGACTCTGGCCAGGAAAGCAATTTTCAAGATGAAGAACCCTTGGAGAAGTAACCTGCCCAAGGCCACACAGCTGGTGAGTGTCGAAGCTGGGGTTCAACATGAGCTTGAATAAATTGGATTCCAGAACTTATGTTTGCATCCACTACACAGAGAACAAGAGATGACAGGCACAAAAAAAAGACCAAAACCCCTTTTCATGCTTTGTCATCACACAGAGTAGACAAGATGCATCTTCCCTATAGTTTCCCTCTCCCCTCAGCCTCTCCTCTGCCAGGCAGAGAAACAGCCTATCTGAGGAGGAGGCAGTGGGCATCAGGGGTCAGTCCTTCCCCTGTTGGGGCACCTGTAGAGGGCCGGGCACCTGCTGTGCAGAGAGAGGTCTAGAAAATCCATCTAACCTCATTCCTCTCTCAGGTTTGCTGCACGGCATCAACAGACCTTGAAGTTGTCTGGGTAACCTCTACAAGGCCAAGTGCCTCTCTTAGGGTGCCACAAAGGACAGCAAACTGACACAGTCCCAGTCACATGCTCTGCCCTCCAGTAATCAGTGATGGCTCAACAGCAGAGCAAGAACCGGGGCATCAGACCAGTTTAGACTTGAATCCCAGCTCTGCTCCTAACTCAAGGTGTGTTCCTTGGGCAACCTGCTTCTGTTTTTTTTTTTTTGGGGGGGGGGGCTCTCAGTTTCCTGATGTGCAAAGTGGGAATGAGGGGCTCCTCAACTTCCAGAGTGACAAAGAGGGCTACACAAATGCTGAGCATAGTGCCTGCATGTCAGGGTGACTCCACCTATGTGGGTTCTCTTCCCCATTCAAAGATGGGAGCAGCAGCCTGCACTGCTAGCGTTCTCCCACCTCCTCCCGCTTGCCAGCATGATCCACAGCAGCGTTCAGTAAGGGAGCAGGTATTTAGCATTCAGGAGCATGCAGAAAGGGTCAGCAGACCCTGCTTGGGGTGAAGTCACCTGGCCGCACCTGCATTTCAGGGGAAGAATGAATGTGCAGTATGCAGTTCCCTTCCTGTGCCTTTTGAAGGGGGCGAGACGGAAGACTCCCCTAAGAAGACAACCAACCTGAGCCCGAGAAGGTCCCAGGCCACGCATTAAAATAATTGCATGCGAGCTGGTGTCACTCACTCCCAGTGGGGATCACGTCTTTGCTACAAAGGAATCTGGTGCCTGCCAAGCGCTGAGCCAGCAGGAAGGCTGAAGGATGTGCATCTGACTCAGGAAACTTGGACTTCCCCAATAGGGAGAAATTTCAACCAAGTGAAAATAAGGGCTGGCCTGTGGGCCCCCAGACAAACAAATCTTTACTGTAGCACGCACAAATCTGTCAGGCCCTTTGGAGACACTCTCGCCCATTTAGTCCCACTGTCCATTTCTCAGAGATGACTTGCACATCTCATGGCTGGTAAGTTGCAATGCCGAGACACAAAGCCAGTTCTCAACCCTCAACCTGGTTCCTCGTTGCCATTGTGCCCATGTCCATGCGCTGAGCATCTACGGATGGGGAGAGGTTTACAGAGAAGTGCTTTGCCTGCGATCACATGGTGGGTTTGGGCCAGGTCAGGGCTGGGACGAGGACACAGGTCTCTTGCGTCCACCCAACTTGGGCCATTACCTACCCCACCACGCCTCAGTCTGCCGTGTCTGCCCACATCTGGATTAGTGTATCATCTACAGCAAATGCTGGTGTGCAGAAACAGCAGCAAGGATTAAAGGAATGTAGAGGAAGGTGTGTGTGTGGGCGGGGGGCGGGGGGAGTCACTGGCAGGTGAATGGGATTTGGTAAACTGCAATCCGGCTACCCTCTGTAGATAAGCACACTTAAAGATGATGATTGTATGAATTTACCTTTTCACTGGGCTTTAATCATGAGAACATAGAACACTCCATTCTCCTGTGCTAGACTCTGGAGAAATAAATCACTGATCTAGTACCCTTTCTACATTAGACATTAGCCAGGGCTGACCTGTGGGCTCACGCAAATGCCTGCTCACGTTCAGTCCTCAAAACAACCTGGGAAGGTTGTTCTTATTATTGTCTCTGTTTTACAGACAATAACCCTGAGGCTCAGACTGGCTCATTAAGCAACCAAAGCTTTTTCTTTCTACCATGTCAAATGATTGCCAAAGATGAGCCAGGCTCTGATGGGCTGTGAGCGCGGAGATGGACATAAGAGAGCAGAACTCCCTTTCTCAGGAACTTACGACTAAGAGGGAGAGGCAGGCATTACATAACCATGCATTTTAAATGACAAGTATGATAAGTGGTTTTTTTTTCCTTGCCTAAAAGATAATCTTTAAATATAAATATATATATATATCTTAAATCTTTAAATATAAATATATCTTAAATCTTTAAATATAAATATATATATATATATAACATCATTGTTCATTCTTGTACAATGTATGCTTATATGCTCTCTCCTTTTAGGTGTAGTCCCTGTGAAATTCCCACCACCAATTCACCCGTGAACTATCACCAGAGTTCCTTGTGCTCTTCTCTCGCCTGTTTTGATCCCTCTTCCTGTCCCAAACAACATAGTCAAAAAATGGGCAGAACTAAAAAGAAACTTCTCCAAAGAGGAAATGCAAATGGCCAACGGGCATATGAAAAAATGTTCAACATCACTTGTAATCAGGGAAATGCAAATCAAAACCACCATGAGATACCACCTTACACTAGTGAGGATACATATTAAAAAAAAACAAAACCCAAAAAACAGGCAACAACAAATGTTGGCGAGGATGTGGAGAAAAAGGAACTCTCCTACATTGCTGGTAGGAATGCCAACTGGTCCAACCACTGTGGACAGCTGTGTAGAGATTCCTCAACCTACTAAAAATGGAGCTCCCATATGACCCAGCAATTCCACTCCTAGGAATCTACCAAAGAATGGTAATTGCTTTTAAAGAAATGTTAAGGAGAGGTTACTAGTGACTGCCTTTGGGTTGGACCACTTGACAAACAGAGAAACCAAGGCCCAAGGTGAAACACTGACTTGCCCAGAGTCACAAGGCAGAGTGGGAAGTGGAGACAAACTTCCGGGGCTACTGTTGCTTCCACTAAACCACTTACCAGCCTGAGAACCCCACTCAGGATTAGTATCACTGATTATTTTTATCAGTGCTTGTCTGACTGCTGAGAAGTGTCATTTCCTGGTCCCTTGAGGGGAGACTCACCCATCGCTGCTGGCTGGGGGGCAGCACGCTGTAGTGTAGGTGACATTTACTGACAAACTTTCCTACATGACACGGAGTGACTGGAGAATGTGCCCAAAATAGATTTTCGCACGGAGCTGGTAAGTACATATAGGTCTACAGGACTCGTGATGAAAACCTATCAGAACTGATGCCACTTGCCAAGGCACATCAGCACAGGCG